AAAAACATGTTCTTTTCTATTGTTTTTACTTCCTGGTCATATATGGCTTTGTTTTTCCATGTGATTTCACCATGGCAAACTATTTTTGCCACAGAGAAATGGGACCAGTTTATCATGGGTTCAAACTTCAAAAACTGTGAGCCAAGATACATCTTATTCCCTAATGAGTCAATTTATTTCAGGTATTTGTTCTAGTGACTGAAAGCTATCTAACACAAAGTATTAGCTGAAATATCTGAATTATGCCATGTTAGAATACATAAGAGTTTTCTGCTACTGATGAGTTCACCGGGTAGCAGAACGCAGCCTTCCACACAGCTAATTTTTATAAAAATTAATCATCAGGATTTTAAGTACTGTACCATATTTGAAATTAATAATGCCACCATTTTCCTGTTCAATTTAATAATTCTAGTGGCGCTTCAAGTGTTCCAACTAGAAAACCACATGCATATTTTAAAATATATTTAGATACATATATACTTTATAATACATTACTAAATGTGTAATATATTTAATGATGTGTCTACCAAACCTTATTTTTTGTAACATTGGCCAGTCATTTTCCCCCCTCCGTTTCCATTGTTTGTGAATAAACTGAATGAGTTCTAAGACTTCTAAATTTATTAGGTGACCTTGAAGAAAAAGTTAAGTTAAAGCCTTGCAGAAAAATAGCATATTAAAATTTTATATAAATTTATTTTATATAAATTTATTTTATATAAATTTATTTTAATGTCCTTTGATGTTTTCCTTGTATGGGAACGTACCAAATTTGTTCAAAGAACACTTTCCAATCCTTTGCTGTTGTGTAATAGAGCAATAGTAGAATAAGACAAGATGCCTGGGTTTGTTGTTCTTTGACTTCTGAGAAAGTTAGAAGTTTAAAAAAGAAGTCATCCTGGGCATGGATTGACTGTAATGTCTTCCATATACTTCAAGTATCGACCTGAGGAAGAATTGCAATTGCAGACTTCAGTGGATGTCTTCTAAAACATCCCCAGATATCTCATTTCAGGGTGCTGATACCCAATGTGTGTGTAACCTTCTCTGGAGGGTTACCATTGGGCTACTGACTATGTCTTACTTAGAATCATCTAGGCCTCACCCTCTTTTGTTCTGAAATAACTCAAAGCCACATAAGAAGCCCTAGCATTCACTTTAGATTAAGGTCAAGGCTCATGGCCCAGAATTTTCTATGATATTGATTAGACTAATATTCATCTGAAACCTCATTTTCTTGTGTCTATTCTGCTAAGAGGCTTCTTTTGAGCACATTACTTTTTAGGAAATCACTTACACACAGTTTCACAGGTGAGGTATTGCTTCTAGGGACCCTAACCTAAGACAACAAATTGTCTATACCTCGGAAGTCTCCTAAGACCGGCTTGTCTCCTTGCCTGTTCCCTTTGGACACCCAAGAGCAGATGCAATTTGTTTCCTTTATCTTCACCTATTTCCTCCAAGACAGATAAGGTTTCTTGAACGTGTTTCCCTTTTGAGTAAAGTACTCTTCTACAGGGATGGGGAGCAAAAGTCAGGATGAATACATGACTCATCCCAGAGCCACGTGTTCCAGAGTAAGAGGATGAACCCCTCTTCTACTTACTGAGCTACAGAAAAAGTACCCCAGGCTGCTGGCTTGTTACTAGGCAGTTTGGAGATTCTTGAATGAGGCATCCCGGTCATGAGGAAGCTTCTTAATTGTAGAAAGCCTCTGGGGCTCAGGATGACAGCAGCAGGCCCCAGAGCTGACTCCTCAATCTTCAGCTTCCTCCTGTTAAGCTACTTTTGTAGAACTGCTGATTCAGATTTCCACTAGCCAAAAGATGCATGTGGACCCCTGGTTCCTAGGTGGCTTTTTCAGGCTTAGCAGACTCGTTAGGGCAGGCAAGCTTCAAGTTAGGAAGCAATAAGAAGGTTTGTGTTTTTGAGTTTCACCTCTCTATTCTGACATCTCTGCCCTTTTCACGCCTATCTCCCTTCTCTCTCTCTCTCTTTCTCACATACATAACTAATACCAAACCTCTAAAACCTGAAGGATATAATACATACCTTTCTGCACTCACATGCAACAGTAAAAACTAACCACCAGGAATGTAAATGTGGGTTTTCTCCAACTCATCAGAGGGATGAGGGTAAGGTTAAAGATTTCACCTCTTTAGTCTCATGGTTAGTTCCTCTGACAAATCAGTCCTCATCCTCAGACTACCCAGGAAACACTGGACACCTCATTAGCACACAAAAAGATACAGCATGGAAATTCCAAGGGTTTCAGAGGCACTGTGCCAGGAATGGGCATGAAAACAAAACAGATTTCTGATCAGTCACAACTCCACAGATTGTTGGTCTTAGACCTATGAGGATTTCCTTTCAGTTTGGCATCATGTTTCATGGTAGTAGAAGGCTAATATCCAGCTTTCTCTAACTAGCACACTAGTGATGTAAGTGTACTCACAGCCTAAAACATACCTCCCTTTCCTTAAGTACAATTCCACTCAAAGACTTCAGGGAAATTTACACACACACACACACACACACACACACACACACACACACACACACACACACATATATATAAATTACATGGTAGAATCCAAGTTCGCATTCCTAATAAATGGGAAACTGTAAAACAATTTTTTTCTGGTACTACTCTGAGTAGCAACCCCATATCTTCAATCATGGCTGATTTACTCTGCAACACTCTCTAGGCTTGTGTGCTCTCCCCTCTCCTCAATTTATATATTGAAGCCTAACCCCTATTGTAGTAAGATTAGAAGGTACAGAATTAATGTCCTTAAAAAGATACCCTAGTGACTTTACTTGTCTTGACACCATATGGGGAAACAGTGAAGAGTCAGCAACTTGAGGGACAACCTCAACCCTGACCATGCTGGCAACCTGATTACCAAATTGCAACTTATAAAGAGTAAAACATCAATTTATATTACCTATAAACCATTCACTCTATGGTATTTTGTTATAGTAGCCCAAACAGACTAAAATACACTCATGGCTTCTGGATCCTTAAGCCTACAACCCATATAACATTAGTCCACAGAGTGTTTTTAATTTTAAAATCACTGTTGGTGAGAATGTAAACTTGTTCAGCCACTCTGGAAAGCAATGTAAAGGTTCCTCAAAAGACTAAACATAGAGCTTCCCTATAGCCCAGCAACTCCACTCCTGGGCATTTATCCTGATTTTTTTTTGTCTTTTCTTTTTTGGTACTGGGGATCGAACCCAGGACGTTGTGCTTGCTAGGCAAGCGCTTTGCCACTGAGCTACATCCCAGCCCCATTTATTCTGATTTGCATTCCAAATCAGGCCATGCTAAAGCTACCAACACAAGCATGTTCATTGCAGTATTGTTTACCATAGCTAAGATATAGAATCAATCCAGTGGACAAATGGTTTAAGAAAATATTGTTATATATTGATATATGTATATATACATATATATAATAGAATTCTACTCTTCTATTAGAAAGAATGATATTGTAACATTTGTAAGGAAATACAAAGGCTTGGAAAAAATAAGTGAAGTAAGCAGACTCAAAGAAACATAGATTGCATTGTTTCCCTCATTTGTGGTAACTAGATTGTGTCTATAAATTTACAAGTAAACACACAGGATGGTAAAAGACAAAAAAAATACACTTGGACATGATAAATTTTATAGCTCTCTAGACATTCATACAGTGAGACCAAAGGAGGATATTCTTAGGAGAGGATTACAAAGGGTCAATAACTATGTGCTTAAGATCATATAAAAGGATGTTAATTGAAATGAACTCCAAGAAATGGAAATGAGAGTTTTTTTCCTTTGTTACTGTTTTGGTTTTCTTTATCTTTTGTCCTGTTTGTTAGTTTATATGTCTTTAGGAGGGAAAGGGGGAGGGGATACACAGCAAGGGTGGGACAAAGATGAACAAATGCAGCAGTGATTCTCACTAGGCACTGTGTTAAAAATTAACTGTACAATTTGTGGGAGAGGGACAGGAGGGAAAAAACTGGGAGAAAACGAGGGAAGGGGTGACACTACAAAAAGAAATGTACTCATTACCTGACTATAGCCCTTCTGTATATCATCTTGCAGTAGCAATAAAAATACATTAAAAAAGAAAAGAAATGAACTTTCAGTTCAAGGAATGTGGTTTTTTTTTATTTCTGTCGTTCATGGGCTTGAACTCTGGGCCTGGGCACTGTCCCTTAGCTCTTCAGCTCAACACTAGCGCTCTACCACTTGAGCCACAGTGCCACTTCTGGCTTTTTCTGCTTATGTGATGCTGAGGAATTGAACCCAAGGCCTCATATACATTCAGTCTACCACTGAGCCATCTTCCCAGCCCCAAGGAATGTGGTTTAATATATAATATTCAGGTATTTGTCTTTATCATCATGTAGTCATATAAGTATGTATATATCTATATACAAATATAATTATCATTTTGGTCTGTGAAGTCAAATGTGACTGGGTCCGCAAAAGTCATGATGCAGCACTGCATGCATGTGTAAACCTATAGATATCATACTCTTGCAATTGTTTGTTTTTCAGAACTGAGATCTTCAGATTCTGAGGTAATGATTTTCAAGTGGAAGGAACCAATTCATGCATATTGAAAGGCAGTAGAACAGAATTATACAAGTATTCCTACTATGTTGAATATAGCTACAGTCCTTGTTGGCTATCTTGTTCCCTCACAATCCACTACTTCTACCCCAGATACCATGACCAATATTTACAGAGACCCCTTGCAAAAGTCTATATGCTGAATTTTAAAATCTTAGAACTTGGAGCAATGTGTGGGCCCACAGAACCCAATCTTCTACTAACGTAAGAGTCTGTTACCACTTTACATCAATTTGAGCCCATCCTGGCATTGTACTTGGTAGCTTCGAATCAGTTTCCCAAATCTGGCAATACAAGGTTGTTATTGATGCAGAAGGAAGCTGTCAGAATAGTATACTTCTGGACACTTCAAGTCAGTGATGATGAGCTATAGATTGTGGGCAGAACCAACAAGGACCATTGCTGTCTCATCATCCTGGGAGCAAGGAGCCAAGCCATCTTCCACCACCCTGTGGAGGGTGCTGTAGTGTTGTCGACTTGGGTGGAAAGAATGCAACTCCGAAGCAGCTTCCCAGGCAGCAAAAGTGGGCATGGGAAAGACATCTGGTCTCTTGTTTTCAAAAAAGCATTTCAGATTCCTGTCACTCAGTTTGTTGGCATAGTCCAAAAATGTATTTTCCAATTGCTCTTTCTCCTTTTGTGCATATGTCTTCCAAAAGCTTAACTGTAAATAGCTCACATTAGACCGACAGCGTGCATAACAAGTGGTGAGCAGGGAGAAGAAGGATGCTGAACAAATCAGGATCCATCCTAGAATCTTAGGAAGAGATACAGATTGAGGGCATGTAAAAGCAGAATGACAACACAAAGGCAGTTCTACCACAGAGGTAGCATTATTAGAATATGTCTAACTAAATTAATACAAGTTCTTACCATAGGTCATTGGAAATCACCTTAAACTTTTCAACACTTTTTAACAGTCAAAATAGAGTTCAAATTGGCCTTATACCTAGTCACCTAACCAAGATTATTGCTATGTAAAATAACCAGAAGGCTAGTGAATAGAAAAGAATAAAAAGTATAGATTATTAAGTATTGGATAAAGCTCACAAATGGTATTAGCTATTAGAGGAAAAACCTCTGTGCCTGAGTAATTGTGGCTTTTGAAGGAATTACCAGTTTATTAGCCAGGTATTTTTATATATATATATATATATATATATGTATATATTATATCTATCATCTCTCACTACATATCTATAATAAATATAATATTTATAAGTATGTTTATAAATATAATTCATAATAAATTAAAATATATAATTTCATGTGACTATCTGCAGAGCAGCAAAATGGTTGTTATTTATTATCCATATTGAAGAGAGACAGACTTGATATAATAAGGAGGCTGAACTTGTAAAAAAACAAATCCTGTCTAAATGCTGAGGAAAAAAAAATAGCCATTCTTGATCTTGGGGATTACTTCTTCTCAAGTTTGGTCATTAAAATAAAAGCAAACTCCCTGTTGAGTAGCTATGGTCCTGCTAATTTTTAAAAATTATTTAGAAACAAAAGCCACATCACTCAAGATAGCTTCTAATTTTAAGTATTTAAATTCTATTTTCCATAATTAGAATTAATTTAATATTTAGACAACTAACAGATTTCCTCAAAAGTATCTCTTGATATTTAGTTCAATGACCTATTAGCAGATGGATCATTTGAAACATCAATTTGTTACTAAACCCACCAAGACCATTACAGAACCCCAAATTAGCTTTAGATCAGTGATTTCCATGCTCTGTCTCATTCATGAGGTGATCGGAGTCTCACTTTTTACATATAGGCCAACTTTGGATTGACATTACTTGGGTTTAAATCCTAGATTTCCCCTCATTGTGGATGTTGTCTGTACCTCTCAGACTTTCTTCAGCTATAAAATGGGGGTTGCACATCATAGAGGTATTTTGGAAAATCGTGAAATTTTCCTGGGCTCATCATTTCTCTTTCTCTACAAGTAGGCCACCTTACCTCCCTCAGTACCTGAGCCAACTAGCTGAGTCTGAAACTATTTGATCAGCTTTGGGTCATCTTTCCCCTTTTTCATGAAGTCAGCATTGACCTGCTCTTATCTGAGTGTGGAACCTTCTCCTTCCTCAAATTCACAATATACACAGTCTAATTAGATTGCATTGGATGCTTCCACTTCAATCTCCAGAGCATTCCTGGTAGTTTTCTCTTCAACTTAGGACATTATGATGTTCTAGAATCTTTATGTCCACTTTCATCTCTTTAAATCTCTCAACAATTCTCTAAGGTAGGTGTTATTATCCCTCACAATGAGACAACTAGAGCTCTAGCTGTAGGTCACTAGCTCAGGGGTGGCAGTATCAGCGTTCAAATCCAAAGCCAGCTAACTCAACACTGAGCTTTTTCCACTGTTCCCTTCTGTCTTCCTTAAGAATAGAGTCATCTAGCTGGATTTCTTGTTGCCAGGCCCCACCCATGGATGAATGCACTTTTCCACCCCCACCCACATGCCCAATTATTGGTCTGGACTATACACTGCCTCCTGCCATGTGAACCTTATGGTCAGCATCTGCTATTGCTACATCAGCCTTCATCCACATCTTTCAGGTATCCGCCCATAGAAATCAGCCCCAGGTCCTTTTCATCCTGCTGAAAAGTCAACAGGTCATTGTACCCAGTCTTGGCTATGACAGGATGCGCCTGTGTTTACATAAGAAAAGCTTACCCAGTGCTAAGTGTGAACCTGGCACTGACTGAATGGAGCCTGGTGCCTGAGGACATAAACCGTAATTCCTGTGTTCTGTCATAACATTTGTAATTATTACCTTCCTTCAACAAAAGAAGGAAGACTTTTAGGAGCTCGGCAGGTTTTTATCAAAATGTATTTTATACAAAAAGCAAAAGATTTTGCTTGGGGACAATTTTTGGCTTATCAGTTTATAAAGAAAATGTGACTTTGCTGTCTATTATTTTGGAATATATGATTGATCCTAAGAACAGACTTTGCTTGATGTGTATAAAAGCAGATCTTATTGAAAAATTATATTTAAGTACATACACTATTTTCAATGCTTTTTTTTCTGAAATGAGTATTATTTCTGACAAATTTTGAAGTTCTTCACTCTCACTGCTTGTTTTGATTTGGAGATACAATTCCCACTATTCACAAGGTCTATGCATCTGGATTTCTGGTCATGTACCTGAGGAGATGACTGACTAAGATATCCTTGTGTCAGTTAAGTGAAGCTTAAGTTTTCTCCTCCTAAATAAAACTGTCTCTCAAAATGTGAGTTTCTAAAGTAACATAAGAAGTTCTTTTGCTGTACAGTACAAAGAGTAAAATACATCATCTCCCTAGTGAATATGGTCGCTTTTCACTGAAAGTTATTTAAGACTACTAAGTCCTTTTTTAGATGGGAAATGCTTCTCAAGTTTGTCAATATTATTAATACACAGAAACAGCAATTGCGGGAAACCATTCAAGAGAATCCCTGTGGCAATTATGTTACAGGCAACAAAAGTAGTAGATCAGATGGCTCAGACATATTTTAATAATATGTTTGTGTTTCTCTGAGAAACCAGTTTGAAAATAAATAATTGATAGAAAGCAGTAATTCTTAATTACAGCCCCCCCATTAACACGCAGTTTAGAATTGGCTGTTATGCATTATTTACAAAGTCAACCTAGAGAGATTGTTTTAAAGTACTTAAGTATTTACATATGCATAACCCAGAGGATGTTTTCTTTTCAGAAATGGAAAAGATAGAATCCAACCAGCAATTTTACGGAGCCATCCAGCTTTTAAAAAGCATTTCCTGAGATTGTCTTAGCACTGTATCAGATTCCAATTTCCATCTAGTTTAATTATTTGGGCAAGATTTAGACTCCTCCCCGAACAAGAGAACAGAGAGAATACTTTCAATTCATGTTTATGAGAGAGAGAGAAAGAAAAAAGATGAGTTTCTTCTTACCTGAGACTGGGCTTGAAGAGACAGTTTCACTTCTTCATTGTCCATGGGTAGCATGCTAGTTTTGCCACAGGATACTTTGTATAGCTCTTCCCAGCATTCTTTGGGTTTGCCGTGACAAATCAGTTCCAGAAGTCTGGAATTTTTCGTCCCGCTCATGGCACATTCATAAAACGTCCCATTAAGCAAAGCCACAGAAAGCCACATCACTGGAGCCACCAAAGAACTCAGAGTGATCTGTCCTAGGACATAGAAGAAGCGGCAGTTGTGGCCCCTGGGGAAGATTTTCCTGGGATTGACACAACAACCTGTGAAGAGTTTCCATGCCTTGTTGTTGAGAAAGAATCCAAGGATCAGTAACACCCAGGCAGGAGCAAAAAGGAAAACCAACCCATAGGCCATATTTTCAGTGCTACAGGGGCATTTGAAAGCCACCAGTGAGAAGAGGCGTTCACCTCCCAAGGTCAGCAAAGCCATGAAGCTGTAGCCAATAGCAGTTTTTTGATTCAGAAAGAACTTTAAAATGCTTTGAAAAGCTTCCATGTTGGACATACACAAAGAGGGGAAATGCTGCTCTTGCTATTGACACTGCAGCTGTGGCTGTGGCTGGGTGAGGGTGGAGTTCTTTCTTCATTAGAAACAACAGTCCTCCTTCTCTGGCTGAATTCAGCCAGATAAGGAAACAATGTCATTCCCTAGGAATGCGTGTTTCCCAACAGTGTTCAGATAATGCCTCCTACTGGTGGATGCTGGGCCGTGAACTGGCTGCCTAAACACAGAAGTAGAATACATTCAAAGTGCATGGACTCCTTTTTAAATATTATTTCCATGTCCCTTGGATTAAAAGACAAAGAAATTCTCATGCAAAGAGGTTAGAAATTTTCCAGTGGAAAGAATCAACACTAGCAGAAATGGGTTTCAATCAATTGGGAACCAAATCAAATCTCCACATTCAGACTTTCAAGATCTTTTATTCTCTTGTTATATGACTTACAATTTAGAAGACAGGGATTTATCTTATGCCTTCTGAAAGAGGTTTGAATTCAAAGATTTCCACCATATTTTACAAATTAGTATGTTTTAAATTTATATGTGAAGGTTTTAAAGACAATTGGAATTTTGAAGCAAAACAGGAGCTATCATTTTTCTTTTCTGGGCCAGTGTAGTAACTTCTTCATTAGTAACTCTCCCTCTTGCTGCATGCCCCCTGTACCTACAATAGTAAAATTCACCCTCCACATTGCCACAGAGGTTTAAAATATACATGATTCTGCATAACCCATTCCAAGCTTTAGAGCTCCCCACTGCTCACAAGTTGATAGAGGTACAACTTCTTTGAACCTCATTGTGATATTTCATGTCATATTCCTAGTACTTACAATGCTTCTCATCTCTACCCCCACCTTGTCAGCTTTTCAAATGCTAACTCATGTCTTCATGAGTTAGCTAATACATGCTAATTCATGTCTTCTGGTACTAAACACAGTATCAAACATAGAGTGAATGCCCCGTCAGCAACTGTTTTGCAAAGGGATATTGAACTCACATTGCACGAGGCATTTGGTAGGCCCAATATGTTCTGAATGAATGATCAAAGAACTTCTTATGGTTTTACACTATGACTAAAGAAAATTGCTTTCACTTCTTTTCCATGCTGCTCTTAATTTAAAACATTAGTTAATTAAGACGTTTGAAGGATTACAACATGTCAAGTTGACACGTTTTTATTAATTAACTACAGACCTGTGTGTTTTGTGAAAAGAAATTGCCTTGGACTCTGAGCCAAGGAACTAAGTTATACTACAATCTTGGCTGTATCCTTTTTGCTTTTTCTGAAACAGAAAAGCTTGCTCATTTGAAAAGTAGACGTTCAAAAGAAATAGATTCCAAGATTTCTTCCATCTCTCCCTTGTAAAATTCAAGTGCTATAAAACACTGTTTTTGAAAATTACTTTATGTCTCAGTTTTGTTTCTCTCACCAATATCCCTTACTCCTTCTCAGAGATCTGTTTGTCTACAATAATAGGATTCTCCTTCCATACACATCCATAGCTGTCATCGATCCAAAGCTTACTTGGCTCTAGCCAGGACTTCCCTGTTGGGGCATAGGTGTCTGAGATCCCCTCTCCTTCAGGACCTTAGTTTTGCTAATACTAATGTGACGGATACCATACTGTTATGTCCATGAGTAATAATCTTTGAATCTCTCACTCTCCTAAAGGAAATGCATATTTTTAAATGCATGTTTTGCAAAAATATTGCCTTATGGCAGTTTTCCATAAGCTATAATGTATCCCTTAGGATTTTCCATCAAACTAATAAAAGGATTAAACACCCTCACATGGCACAGAGTCAATAAATTGTAAAGCTAAGTGTGAGTCCAGATGTCCTCACTGAAGACTTGTCTTAATCATACTGCTTCAATGCCTGGAACGGAGTATTTCATTATCCTGCTAATAGATATTTGTTCTACACCAACTGTTATTAAATTCTCCACTTCCCCATCTTTATTTTTAGGTTGCTTTCAAGATGTACTTGGGAATTACACCAAGTGTGACCTGTCACAATTCAAGCAGAAATGAATTTTCCCTGATTCTAGACAAGAATCCTTTGGCAGAGTTTGTGGAGGAGCTGCCGGCTGGGCGATCTTCTCTGTGCTACTGCAGCTTACTCTGTGGGGTTATCAGAGGTGCCCTGGAAATGGTAAGGGGAAAGAGAGAGAGAGAGAGAGAGAATGCATTTACTTCATTTTCCACTTGTGTTAGTTATCTAGTACTGATTTAAAAAAATACCTCAAAACCAAGACACAGTTTGTAAGGATGAGAATTTTGGAGCATTTCAGCTGGGTAACTGGGGCTCAGAACCTTTCCAAGGTTAGCACACGTGGATTTGAGTTATTAGCCAGGGTTACAACCTCTGCAGTCCTGACTGAAGCTGGAGACCTCCTTCTAAGCTTGTGCAGGTAACCTCAAGCGCTTTCTTGGCCACTGGCTAAGAAGTTGTGTGGATTTTCTAGCTTTATAAACAACTTTGTAGGTCACAAACTCACCATTACAGCTTGGTAACACGTGTTGCCAACCCTGATACAACAAGGGTGAGGACTAGGCATTTCAGGCCATTTTGGAGGTTGCCTTCCACACCTGAATTATTCATTGGTATAACAAATCCAAATGTTAATATCTGTTAAATCCCAGGCATTGATGATGTAAAGATGAGCAGGATGCAATCACTACCCTTAAAGGATCTGATTCAAAGTCATATGTATAAAAAAGTATGATAAATGGCCAGGAGAGGACCGGAGGCAGGAAAGACATCTGTTAATTTTTAGAAATGGAACTGGATTTTGAAAGACAAATGGTAGGTGAAAGGTTTGAGTTAAAGAACAGGAGGAAAATATTTTAGGTAGAAAAATCCAATTGTCCAAATGAGCAAGAAGAGTATTTCATTCCAAGAACCAATAACTGTAATTCATCTGGCACAACTGATACAAAGAGGGAAAGAGGACTTGTTGGGAGAATGAGGTTTGCATCCTTCACAGAAATCAGATTAAAGAAGGAATTCAAGTCAGGTGATGGTGGCTCATACTTGTAATCCTAGCAACTCAGGAGGCTGAGATCTGAGGATCATGGTTCTAAAGTCAGCCCAGGCAGGAAAGTCCATGAGACTCTCATCCCCAATAAACCACAAGAAAACTGGAAGTAGTGCTGTGGCTCAAGCGGTAGAGCGCTTGTATTGAGCAGAAGAGCTCAGGAACAGCACCCAGACCCTGAGTTCAAGCCCCATGACCTACAAAAAAAAAAAAAAAGAATTCGGAGTTCTATACCTGAAGAATTAGAGTCAGTGCAGGTTTATCAATTTGAATTTTTTTCTTTCCTCCTCTTTTTTATCCCAGTCCTGGGCTTGAACTCTGGGCCTGGGCACTGCCCCTGAGCTCTTCAGCTCAAGGGGAGCACTCTACCACTTAAGCCACAGTGCCACTTCTGGCTTTTTCTACTTATGTGGTGCTGAGGAATTGAACCCAAGTCCTCATGCATGCAAGGCAAGCGCTCTACCACTGAGCCACCTTCCCAGCCCTCAATTTGAAATTTTGAACTTTGTGTTCTAGAAATTTTATTCCACTGTCAACATACCAGACAATAGAAGAAGGTTCAGCTTCTCCCCTAGCCCTTTATTGAAAGGATCAATGCTGAAAAGCAGAGAAAGAAGGGCAGTTAGGAAGCCTATGATGCTAACCTCAAACAAAAGCCAAACTCCTTAGAGTGCTCATCACGATCGGTTTGAGCAAGGTTTATGAAGGTAGACAGGTTGTGAGCTGACTTAAGGGACAAGGCTGAAAACAGGATTCAAGAATAACTTTTAGTCCGGGGAACAGCCTGTAGGTAAGGTTGCACTCTGACCAGGAGAGCAAAACCAGGAGTTCATTGGGAATTTGAAGAGGCAAGGGAAAAAATCTCATGTTTGAATCTGCTTTAGTTTGGGTGCCTAACACACCACACAGACACACACAGACACAGACACAGACACAGACACACACACACACACACATACAAAGACAGAAACAGAGACAGAGACAGAGACAGAGGGACTGAAGACATCCAGTGTCTGAAGCTTACGAAGGGTTGTGACTGAAGAATCATTGAAATCAGCCAACAATGAATAGGGAGAGGCTGTAGAGAGAGAAGAAAAGGAAACCTCATATAGAACCCAAAGTAACAGTGAACTAGGAGTAAGTTACAGAATACAAAGACTGCAAAGGATATCAAGAAAGAGTAATAGGGCTGGGAAGGTGGCTCAGTGGTAGAGCGCTTGCCTTGCATGCCTGAGGCCCTGGGTTCGATTCCTCAGTACCACATAAGCAAAAAGAAAAAAGCCGGAAGTGGCGCTGTGGCTCAAGCGCTAGAGCGCTAGCCTTGAGCTGAGGAGCTGAGGGACAACGCCCAGGCGCAGAGTTCAGGCCGCACAACCGGACCCCCCCCCAAAAAAAAAGAAAGAGTAAATACATGTGGCTTAGTGGTAGAGTGCTTGCTTAGCATGCATGAAGCCCTGGGTTTGATTCCTTAGTACCACAGAAAAAGTCAACAGAGAGTGGCAGTGTGGCTAAAGTGGTAGAGTGCTAGCCTTCAGAAAAAGAAGCTCAAGAACAATGCCCAAGCCCTGAGTTCAAGCCCCGGGACTGGCAAAAAAAACCCAATCAAACAAACAAAAACCCCACCCCCCAAAAAAAAACCAAGAGTAAATACAGGTGAAAATATATCAGGAAGAACACAGTATCTCAGGCTAAACAAGATCAATATAGAGACAGTGAAACAAGACCTCAAAAATATTCACACACCTTACCAAAGGATCGTGGCAAACTTTGGTTAAGTTTTTATTGGGAAAGTAGAAAGAGAAGAAGACTGTCATAGTCTATTGAACTGCTATTGGAAGCTTTGGAAGAGGGAAGAGTCAACAAAGTCTCATTTTTCTCCCAGAACCTTTGCTGTTAAGAATGATGGGGCCAGGTAGTAACCGAAGTCTAGGCATATATTGACCTACTCACTAAGGAGCTGCATATGTAATTTTAAAATATTATTATCTTTAAGTAGTTGTACAAAGGAGCTGCCATTTAACAAAGCAGTTGTGAATACAATATATCTTGATCAGTGTCATCATAAATTCTAATTATTTATAATAATTGGGAAGGAGAAAAAGGTAGTTCAAAACCATAAAGCAACAGAAACAATAAATTTTTCGCAAAGATCCTTCATAATTCTATTCCAGCACTTTTGTAGGATTGTCCATCTATATTAATATAGAGACATAGATTTTGATGTAGTTAGATATATAAAGACAGTAAAATGAAATTCACCAATCGCTGAAAGAGAGGGGGAAAATAAGGGTTTCAGAACAAAGTGGAGGGGGTAAAGTTGTTCTATGTATACTGTGTGTGTCTATGGTATTACTACAGTAAAACTTCCTCATGATCTTAATATGTACTAACTAAAAGAAAATTATAAAAAGAAAAGGCTGAGGATAAATTTGGATTTTGTGTTTCAAAGTGCCATCTCTATCCTTCTATTTGGTAGTAAGTACCACAAAGGATGGTATTTGTACTCTGGTATTTGTACCATGTGCCAGATAATTTGGCACATGGAGATGGATTCAATAATTATTAATTACTTATTTGCTATACTCAGACATTTTTACACTTGTGATTGTTTGTAATTAGGTACTTCCGCTAATTTATGTTATTTATCCTAATGATCTTAAATGATTCTGAACTAATTCTGTACAGAGGGTGGTTGAGTTTAATGAATTCTGAAATGAGCCCTAAGAACTTCCTTCATTTGTCTAAAAAGTGGGAAATGCTTCCAAAAAGAAACGAGAGCCAGCTATCAAATATTCATGGCTGTAGTTTCGATCTTTAATTTTATATTTATAATTTATTTAGTTGATATTTTTTTCAAAGCAACTAAAGCCATAAGTCATGGCTAAATGTTGCTAGAATAAGTTATTATATTATTTAGGGGATGACAGAAGGCTTTATTGTCAATCCATTTGGGAGGAAACTTTTAAGAATCCATTTATCCTTGGAAGTTCTACTGGACAAAGCACACTGGGTAAAGGCTATCTTTTCTGGAGATGGAGCCACAGTCCAGCTCTATGCATGAGCAAAGCTCAGCATTGTGTACATGTCTGGAAATCCCAGCCCTGAAGTTGTCTTTCCCTTAGTAAAATCACATGACGGAGGTCATGTGCTGCCAGACCATCTCTGGGCAACACACAGTCATCTGTGGAGCACACTGGATTTGAGAGATGAAGAAATATTTAGAGATTTTTGAAAATTGAATGAAACAGTCCTATTTCGGTTTTTCTTTCCTAGGTTAATTTGGCTGCTGATGTTACATTCTTGCAAGACAGACTAAAAGGCGACAGTGTGACGGAAATAGGAATAACATTCCTGAAAAAGCTAGATGAGAAGAAATATAGACGGAAAAAATGAAGACTAGTGTGCAAACGTTCCACAGGGTGGCTGGCTGAGAGTGGATACGAGCTAACCATGCACAGCTATGGGACTTTTGAATTGCTTCCTTAGCATGGGCTTTGTAATGCTTATAAATCAGGCAGAAATTCGAAATGTCCCCAGGCATGCTTATAAATTACACCTTTTCAAACTTCATGTCCAGAGGATTTTATTTTATTTTTTTCCAGTCCTGGGGCTTGAACTCAGGGCTTGAATACTGTCCCTGAGCTTCTTTTGCTTAAGGCTAGCACTCTACCACTTGAGCTATAGCGCTACTTCCTGGTTTTTCTATTTATGTGGTACTGAGGAATTGAGCCCAGGGCTTCATGCATGCTAAGCAAGCATGCTACCACTAAGCCACATTCCCAGCCCCATCGGATTTTATATATATAGGCAACTCTTATTCAAGAGCAAGCATGACTTTCACATATAACACAATCCATCCTCAGAGAGTGTATTCCATTTACTTACTGTAACTGAAGGGGGAAAAGAAAGAACCTCTTATATAAACAGTTTGTGTATAGGTGTCTAGTATTATCTTTTCACTGGAAAAATGTATTATATAATATAGCATAAAGCTTACCATATATTGGCAGTTTGTAGATACTGTAGATTGCATTCTCTGTAGAAATAGTTCTATTTGTGCCGTTCTCATATGTTTGAGAAAGTACAGTTGTGAGTTTTCTCATATAGTGCTTTGGCTTTTAGTTTCAGCCTCCAGAGGCTACTTTTGATTTGTGGTCACTAAGGAAAGCTATTGATGACTTGGATGCCAGTTCTTAAACATTTAAAAATAGTATTTTATTTCAATTTATTTAACTTTTAGACATCTACTCTTAACTAAAATTCCTTCCCTTCTTATGAAATATTGCTGAAGTAAATAATGGTCTTTGAGAACATTTTCTTACTCCAAAACTTAGTCACTTTGACTTCTAATGATCACTTTAATTCCATATAAATTTTACAATGACTATTTTGTCAGTGACTGGAGCATATTTAAAATTCAAAAGTAACTGGATTAAAGAAACAATAATTGTCACCAGACCATCAGCACACAAGGTGGCTGACCAGAAGCTGCCAGGATGTGCACAAAACTCAAATCACAAGTAAAAATTACAATCATTTTAATACTATAAATTAATACCGATGGGACTGAGATTATACTCAATGGTAGAGTGCTTGCCTAAGCATACACAACACCCTGTGTTCAAACAACAGTGCTGAAAATGAAAACAAAAACAGGGATAAATGATGTGGCAGTTAGTGATAGATATTAATTAGGACTCAGGAGACAAAAGACCCAGTCTCAATTCTGTTTTAGTGGTATAGGCAACCTATCCAGCTGTATTTTCAAAGGCCACAGGGATAGGCAGAGAAGACCCTATAGGGTCATGGGGCTGCTTGCAACCTTGACAGAAGGAATTTCAGGCCTGTTGCGCAGTGATAAGTAGATTCTGGAAGATGATATCTGCTAGCAGAAAGAACTTGGTCAAATACTGTAAACTGATGCTTTCAGAAGAATTATTGCCTACACAGCTTCTTTCTGTGATTTTTTCCCCCTCCACCCACTCAGATACTTTCTTCTTTATTGCATCTATCAATCAAGAATCCATTGAGATCCAGGCCTAAGGACGCCTCTCTTAATCCATCATCCAGCTATCCATCCCTCTTGAAAAGGTTCAATTCTGTGAAATATTCTCTTACCTATATAATCTCCTTACTCCTTCTTCTCTGTTTTACCCACTCCTTTAAGGCAGCTTAATTTGGTAATGTCAGTGACACTGAGTATTGAACTTGGTGATGGCTTCAAGGTAAAATTGATTCTCCTTCCATTGTTTTCCTTACCCCACATGGAAAGGAGTATCTTGGCACTGAATGTCTGCTATGAAAGGTGCCCCACATACTAAAGTGTAAGGCTCATTGATAGTATATGTTCTACTTGGAAGATTATAAAAATCATCTAGAAAGTATCATTCACTAGAATTATGAGAGCCACATACATAGTTTCACATTTTAGCCATGTTTAATAGGTATAAAAGGTATAAAATGCATATCATTTTGATAATGCATTCCATTTTTACTAGTTATCAAAAATATTATTATTTCAACATTGGCATTTTACATTCTTTTTCATACTAACAATGAACATCAGTGTGTATTTTAGCACATCTCAATTTAAAGGTAAATCTCCAAAGTTTAAAGTGAAAAACATGGTACCCCCAACAAATAAGTTTGATTAGTGTTAACAACTTTAGTTTTAAAATCTAAATTGACCAAAATTAAGCTGAATTAAAATTGTAGTCACACCAGTCATTTTTTTTAGTGGTCAACAGCTATTACACAGCATCATTTTAGAATTTCCAGTCAAAGTCCCATTGAGACTCTTCCATTGATCTGGGAAACAAGTAGAAAGATACTATCAGAGAGCTATGAAATGCCCTCTCCACCAACTAAGTGACGATGCAGAGAAACAGTAAACAGAGATGGCACTTCAATCTTGTACTCAAAACATGTTTTCATTGCATTTGTGCAAAGTTGGCTTTTCTGATCTAGGGCATAACTCAGAGCTGTGCTATACTTACACTTTGCAAAAGTACTCACTACCCAAAACTTTGATCAACACTGAGTTTTTTTATTTGGCAAAACCAAGCAGGATAAAATGTTCAGGGGAGAGAGATAAATAAGTGCTATTGAAATGACACCCCTGATTGCTGCCTAAGCTGTTGGCTGAGGAGGTCTGCTTTAGCTGCCTAATTCATTATGTACAGTTGCCAGGAATCAGAAATACTCCCTCAGCATTCTGTGGATTCATTACACAGAATATTGTCTTCTCAAACCTCTCAGTTTCATCCATTAGCAATTGGGAGCCTGGATCTCGTTACAACATCAAAATATACTTTTGTTTATAAGTAGAAAATTCCCTTTTCTCCAAGATTATGAAAACTGAAATAGAAACATGGGAAAAGAAATGCTTGAAGTGAGAGAACAGTACGAGTTTGGTAACCAGAGGATAATTTAATAACGTCTGCTACTATTTTAACAAGGATTTGCTAACTGTTAATTAATTTGGTGAATGTTGAACATGTTATTTATTCACTGGCAAGTGGCTCTCCAGCTAGGATTGTAAATCCTGGGTGGTCATGATATTCCATAGTTTCCCCCACTGGCTGTGGAAGTAAATTAATGTCTTTCCAATAAATTAACATCTTCTTGGTAAATTAATATCTTCACAGTCCATGAGGAAGGTATCATCCAAACTCTGGATATTGGCTTTGTCTAAATTTAAGCTAAGTTCAAAGTTCACACTATTCAGATTTTAAGTGGATAGTAGCTGCTAAAAATGTATAAAGTTTTTCTAGAATTCCCAGTCCAAGACCTCCTGAGTCTCTTCCCACTAGACCTAACCTCCTCCTGTAGCAGAGGGCCAAATTTCAATTGTTTCACTTAGTTGCTTCCTTCTTAAAAGATCTATCCAGTTGCTGCACTGCCTCACTCTGGATTTTTGCTAGGCTTTTCCAGTGGTTAACCAGAAGCATCTATGGCAAATCACCAGCAGCGTATACATGTGAAGAGCCAGATTATGACCTGAGAAGACACAATTCTTATTCAAATCAGAAGTATTACCCTGCAGATGGAAACAAGGCATAGCCACAATGTTGATTAGCAAAGATTTATATTTCCAGGTGTTTCACTAAGAAAGGAAGAGCTAAACAAGATCAAAAGTTGCAAAGAAGCTGTTTGCCAGCGACTCACCTGTAATTCTAGCTATCAAGGGGGCTGAGGTATAGCCAGCTCTGGTAGAAAAACCTACAAGATTCTATCTACAAAATAGCCAGAAATGCTTGTCTAAAGGCATGTTTCAAGTAGAGCTCTGAGCAAGGAAGTTAAGTGATAATTAAGGTCTTGTGTTAAAATCCCAGTATGGGTAAAAAAAAAAAGTTGCAAAGACTTTACTAAAAGTTCTTAAGAAATATATATCTTCAGGTAGCTCCTGGTTATCACTTAGTTCAGCTTCTATCTTTCTCAGATCTCTTTGTTTTTCTTCTTTCTGCTTGTTTTGTTTCTTTCTATCAGTTCTTTTGCCACTGCATAATTTTCACTTTTCTTCCAAGGAATCTTCTTCTTTTATTTATTTATTTTTTATTTGTGAACATACTGTACAGAGGGGTTACAATTACATGGGCAGGATAATGCGTACATTTCTTACCAAGCATTGCAGCCTCCTCCTTTGGTTTA